CTACTTATATTTTTAAAATATTTAATGCAATTTATAAAATAATATCTATCTATTCTAAATATTTAATTTCAATTATTCATATTAATAGAAAAAATAAAAAAAACATTTGTATTTTCAAAGTATTTTTAAAGAATTCTCCGAATTTGAAAATTTTCTTCGTGCTTCTACTTTTTCTATTTTATGAAATATATTTTAAGGAAAAATTTCCAATATTTTCATTTTTGAGAAATTGATGAAGATACTTTTATAATTATCTTTTATATATATATAAAAGATATATCAAAAATTATGTATCAAAAATACATATATATCTATCTTTTATATGCATTTATTTTTATATTTCAATTAAATTATGTATCAAAAATACAAAAATTAAGTATTAATATTAAATTGTCTGTGAAGATAAAATCATTAAATAAGGATGTTTATTTAGGGGCCGTTTATTCAAATATAACCCTGATAAGCACTTAACGTTATGAGTCAACACTATAATTTATTCTACCAATTAAGATTTTAGTATATCAAAATGGTATCGTATACAACAATTTACCCGGTAAACACTTACCCGGGTATGAGTATTCACCCTTCCTTACTGGGTAAGACTCTCATTCTTTATTATTGTTCTTACCGGGTAAATTTTTTAACCCTTACCGGTGACCAAAAAATACCCGTTAAGCATTTATCAAGTAAACACTTAGTATATAGAACCTTAGTTCCAAAAGAAAGTCACAAAAAAGAAGTTCAATTAGATGAAACGAACTCAGAAGAGTCAGATCTAATAAAATAATATTTAAACAGAGTTTATCTCTATTTTTTTTTTGAAAGGCAAAAAGGAAGGACAAGGAAGAGAGCTTCGGCATGGCCATCACCCTCACCAAGCCAACCAATAGATAAAAAACGGGTCCAGCAAGAAGCTAGACGCAAGCAGAAACAAGAGTCCAATACAACGAAACAATAACAAAAGGGAACAAGACCAAAAAGACCTCAAAAAAAGAGGCCTAAACCAAAAACAAGCAAACCACAAAAGATCCGAGCGGCTAAAAAAGATAAGGAGAAGAGGTCCAATTATCCCAATTCAGATTGAAWTTGCGATTCCTGKTCCCCATCCAAAGCTTGGATAAATTTTGAACCCAAGGAAATGGGTCATCACCTTTCTTCTTAAGTTTCGCGTCGTCAACAGCATGAAAAACTTCATTTCGCCACTTCCATAATTGCCAAAGTGCCACGGCGCAAACAGATAAAAACATCACACCAACCTTTCGATGGTTGCCTACTTGCTTGATTAGAAATTTGAAATCAGATACCGATGAAAGACGCGGGACTTTAAGATCCCACCAAGCCCATATTTTCCTCCAAAGAGC